TACACATGCTCATGATACAATCATACAATCATACACTTATAGACTCTGCTTTTAGCGGAGATTTCTTAAGGCTATGAAAAGGGCTTTGCCGTTTTCATTCACTGTTTCTGTTGCTTTATCAGTTGACTTATTCGTTTTTCATGATAGCATATACATATTAATCACTTCGGTTCACCACTCGGTTCACTTCTAAATCGTATTCTAGGACTATCAAAACTCCTCACTAGCACTGATGGAGCAGCTGCTGCAGCTGCTTGACGCCATGCATTATGGGGAAGATGCAGTGCACGTATTACAACAAATACAATAAAGATGCATTCTGACGTGTCATCTTCACCATTATACTCAAGTGTCATTCAGAAGAAAGAACAATACCTCGTACCAGCACTGTAGACATACTGATGTTTCCACTGTCAGATGGATCGAATGGACATGGAAAATCTGGCGTGAACAGTTGAAAGAAATCAGTTTGCTGCATGCTAGTTGTAGACCTAATTATCTCGGCATATCCAGCGATGCGTGATTGTGTGCAGAGTACGTTCTTTATCTTAAGTGGATGTGGGCGGTGGTTGTCTGAGACGAACCCCTTTAATTTGATCAAATGATTTTCAACATTAAGCAAGTCCTTTATCTGATGCCCATCAGCTTCACCACAGAAGGAATCAATGTTCCTTCTGCAGATTTTGCGGGGGCGGTGGGGTAACCTAGTGGTTGATGTGTCCACTGGTCAAACGGAAGGGTTCGTTATCCCGAATGGGCAGAATGCGTGAAGCCCGTTTCTCGTGTGTCGCAGTGTGGTTTATTGATCAAGACGGCTGAAAACCCTACTCGTTTACTCTTAATGTTGTATTATGTGATTGTATTCTCTGTACTGCATCTGGCGCATGGGATAGCCTAGTGGTTAAATCGTTCGCTCGTCACGTCGAAGGTCCGGGTTTGATTCCCCTCATGGGAACAATGTGGGAAGTTCCCTGTCGTGATATTGCTGGCATAATACCAAACGCAAAGTAAAACCAAACTCACTCACTCACTGTATTGTATCTGGCCGTGTTCAGTGAAAGAACATGACTTGACTTGTTTGTCATCGTACCCCAGCGGCGTGGGACGTTGATCATGTTATCCCTCACTGGTTTAACTGTTCGATAACTTATAAACCGATGGGATTGTATCTGGAATATTGAAGACCAACCTGATAAAAATCATATTTTTGAAAATCGTTTGTATGCAGACAACATATTACCTTAACCGTTTAATACACAACATGAATCGTAGTTTCATCATGGGAGATAATAAAAATGAAAAAAACTGAAATAGTAAATACTCATCTTGATCTTATTTTATTTCCGATTTCATATTTAAGGGCAACCCAGTGGCATAAATGAAAACTCGTCATGGGTATAATGTGTCATCCAGCGTAAAACGGCATTGTTATTGCTAAAAGCGAATGAGATAAAAGCAACAAAATTTCATAAGTATAAGAAAAATCCGCTAAAAGCACAACCCGTTGTACTGTCAGAAGGATGTGTTTATGAAGCACTATCAAACAGTGATATAAAGTGTTGGCGAAAAGGTAAACCCCCAGGGTGACATCCGTTACAAACACACGCAGTGACAAGTCAGTTGTTCACTCATGTTACAAGTCAAATTAGTCAGTTGCATCGGACATCATTTGTGTAACTGATGCATCAAATTTGGAAATATACTCCACGTGTCTACCCTTAACTGAAAGCTTTAAATTACTTAGGCCTTGACGTTACAAAGCCCGTTCAAACAACTGAGCAAAAGTCGCATGACGCTCGTTGACATCTTCGTAAAAAGAGCATGCTTGTACCTCAAAAGTTGTGAAATGTAGACTCTAAAGACTGAAGCTGCTGAAATATTGTTCGACATGAAGGGAAAGTTGACTGTTGGAAAGTTAAAATCATCCCTGTCGTACAATCTTGTGGATACTATTTATCACTCTGAATCTTTATGCATAGATCTAAATATGAAACCGATGAGACACTTTCACTGGTTTCTTTTATTTCTAGGTCAGATGGTTAAATTAGTGGGCGACAATTGGCTATTTGACCATTATTGAACGATATCAGATTATCGATTCACGCACTTGTATATTAAAAAAAAACATCACGAAAACAGACAACAACTAATTGGTATTGAATGGGTTTAGAAAGTGACATAAATGCAAAATAATCACGAAGTTGAATATGCAGAGTTGATGATAGTCACCTGTAGTGTGTTGCAGTCGTTTGCATCTCTACTTGGAAGTGAACACGACATTTAAACCAACGCGTAAAACAATGGTGCTGATTTGTCAGCTGTTGAAATATAGCATTCGCAAAAAGCTTTGCGTAGATATCGGCACTTTGAGTTAATCAAAAAAGTATATTTATGGGCAAGTTTTTTAGTGTGGCATAATTTATCATTTCAGTAAGTGACACTTTTATCGTGCAGCTCTATATCATGTCAGGTTTATCTGATGATTAAACATGAACGTAACCATCTGGTCGGAACAGATCTATTATGCTGCCTATGCTTGGCATCGCTTACAATATTAAAGTCCAAATACCACCAGGCTTCGTTCCAGTAATAAAATTATTTTACCAAGATTAAGCTTTGATGCATTTGTGATTTGTTATCGTGTTTAGCCACTGTAACAGTTAAACTGATCATATCTTCCACAAAATATCATATAAACCGAAACAAAACATGACGCCAGGGCGTTTTAAAACATTTTAAAATGTTTTGTTTGGCAACTTTCCTAATGGTTTCTATGTTGGCCCAATATCAATGTCAGACTAAACATTTAACATATATTTGACTGTACCAAGAATAAGGTAATATGATGTAGCATAGTCCCAAGCCATCAATGTACATTATCATGAGACTCATATAGCACAATCTATGTACATACATGTATGTATATCTGTCCGTTGGTTTGCTGGTAAGCGCCGCACTACATGTAGACAGTATGATTGTATGGCGGCTGTCTGTAAATAATCGAGTTTGCATCAGGCATACTTTACGCAATAAATGGTTTGAAACGGCGTCACAATAAGTCATTTTCTTCAGTTTTATTTGATACGATGGTTTATGGTAATGGAATACAAATCAAAGTGTGTATATATATATAAAATAACTTGATATTGCTTTGTCGATGTTTTGACAATCGTGCTGTAATAACCAAGTAGAAGTGATTGATTCACATCCATCTTTACTCATATTTCTGGCTAACGTTTGCATAGTGATACACTTCTGTAAGTGTTCACTTCATGTTTAAAACGTAACGCTGATATATTGACTACAAGTGCAATTAAATAATATACATAAACACTACCACTACACCATACTTCGAACCACCATCACAAACAACATCACACCGACTACCATTCACCACCGCATTAGACATCACCACCATCAAACCATCATCATCGTTCTCACCACCACTTTGACCACCATTCTAACTACCATGTACCCACTCCCTCGCAATCACCATCCAACGCAGTTCGGGGTGGTGGGATGTTGTGGGTGTAGTGAATATTCAATCAACTCCTGACAAACCTTATTAACATTAATACATGGTACATAGATTTTCATGATCACTGCCTTGATAACTTTTTTTCACAACTGAACATTCTGGCATACATTTACTGCACATTTGCGTATAGCTCCACATTTAAAAGGCCAGGTCCCCATACAACCCTACCACAGTAGTAAAGATTTCCCCGATGTCCATAAGTCTCCACATAACGACTACAATAAAGGTCTTGGAGCTAGCTAGACAGTTGTAATGTGGACACCTTACATTGCCACATATACCATCGATCAAAGGGGGCCGGCTAGTTACCCTGGGGTTATAAACTCCTGATCCACACCGTAAATAGACCACTAAAATGACGCAAAATGCTATAATATCGGTTCGGTGTGATTATATATTGACGACACGCACCATGCATACGTACGCCGTATGTTATATAGCCAGTTTCTCAACATATTCTTTTCATCAATTATTACACTTTAATGGTGTTGTTTATTAGAGTAAAGTGTGTTTAGGTACATAAATGTATATTTATCCTTATCTATGAGTTATTTTCAGTGTATGTGTGTACCAATAAGTGTTGTGAAATCTTCTTGCAAGTAGAAGACATGCTTTTGACAGATATTTCTTATGAACAAGTAAAGGGTTCTGTGGCTTTTATTAGTGTAATGTTTCTGCCTTCAAAGGCAACAAAAAGTCAGTATCTATTCTCATAGTTGTTTGTTGTACTCCCGGTATGCCTGCAACTTCACATCGCCAACGCCGTGATATACCACTGGCCATCATCGGTGACATCGCCTTCGGGCTTTTGTCTATTACAAGAAATTCCCTATAGACATTCATATCCGTATTTCTGTGACAACAAGAAGGAACAGCGTCAATCAGAGTGGAGGCGACAACTTCACACACTTACATTCACGAACCATTGATGGCTTTATGCCTTTGCTAAACGGTGGTCGTGTTCTGCCATGAGAGAAGCACACGTCGTTAGGATAGCAGAGTTTACAATACCAACATACATGACCCTTGAGTGAATTTCAAACAAGTTACTAGTACTTGTTTAAGTAGTTTGTGGATGATAAAAATCTGACACTCTTTGAAGGTACATTGCCATCTTTTGTATCTTTGGTGCTTGTGAACAAGATGCGGTCTCGACAACAAAGATGTGGTTGTCATTTGCAAACCTGAAAGTGTTTAAATTCTCATCGTGATGAATCATCACCATCTCAATGAAATACGAACATGCATCCATAGCTCCGTGGCATATTGGTTGAAGCGTTCGTCCATCCCGCCGAAGAGACCTTGGTTCAATACCCATATTGGTATTATGTACTTGCCCGGTCTCGGAGCCCCATGCTGTGTGATGGCTTGAATATTGCATTAAATCATACCCAACTTCTATCACACACACACCGTGACAGAACAAAAAATATTTGAGTATATAAGACTACCAAAAAAAAACTTCGTTCCAATGCGTTTATTCAAACAGTTACTGCAATTGTCTTCAGTAGTTCCCAAGTTTAACCAATGATAGCAGATCCTTGATAAGCACTGCCCCTAAAAAGAAAACGAAAGCATGTACCAATCGTTCATAGCCCGGATAGACCAACACACAGATCCTGATTTTAACAGCATATTTTCTGGTATTATTATTTAGCAGCAGAAGAAAAGCTTTTTGTCATAACAACAGTGCTACACTAACAATATTAGTTGGTACGTCACAACTTCTATTACCGTTGTTGATCGTAAACATCGGTGAACTGGGCGTAATGTTGATGTTTTCAACTGTTTCTTGTATTAATGCTTCCAGAAAAAGAATCATTCCTCAATTATGTTTTCATGGCCATACTATAACTCACGGTATCTCGCACAAAAACATCTGATTAGTCTCGCATGGGGCATCGTTCCACATGAAGTTACGAGATGTGAAGAGAGCCATGCAATCCTCGTCCCCCAAGGAATTAGGTTCTCCTGGGACCCAGTGTGAGTAGACAATAGGGTCTCCAGACCAAGACCACATGAAATTGCCTTCAACGATGAGGTCACTTCCGCCGATCCAGACGTCCATGGTGTTTACAGAGGCTGACAGAGGCAGGGATACAGATTAAACAGCCTGTGCTTCTGTGTTAACTGTGCAGATTATATCACCAGAAAGTTATTGTATGTATCAGTTTGAGTCTTTTCGTTCTGATATACAGCCGGTGAAGATGAATCAAACCTTGAAATAGAATTTTGGAGAACTGACTCTTTTCCTTTCAAAGTGTCCGACTCACACAAAAAATGAGCGAAATCACTGTTGAAAATAGCATCAACACATGGGAACATTTTAACATAGTTAAATACAGTGGGATGAAATAATTACTACTATGCGCATGTATTGCCTTCAATAACATATTCATGCATTACCACGATTTACAGTTTGTCACAAAGTACCATCCCGAATATTATTGCGGATGTAACGACTATTGAAAAGACACAGGCACTAATGCCATACTTTGTTATTGTACACCTTCTAAGACAATAATAAGAAACATAAGTTTACAATGAAAACATAGTTCAGTAGAACCACATGTAAATGACTATTTCCATGCCATTGGGGCGCGATGGCACATGATCAGCCAGGTCAAACATTGTAGCCATCAGCTCTTCAATTAAGTTGACTGGATACCTCTGCCCTAAGTTTCAATATTTATTACATTAATTTTACACTCAACGAAAATGTTTGGCACAATCATTTATTTTAACATTACCTTTGCCAACCTGAAATTTCAGTTAGAGCAATGAATATATCCTTTGATCATAAAATTACATGTTCCTTGTACGACTTACATTTTAACGGTGCAAGGTAAGATTCCAAAAACTGTTGCTCAGATGCTGTGGAGATTTCGGCAAGTTTAGCTCCAAATGCTTCGCAGAATATCTGAAAAAATATAATTATATCATGTTCATACCATTAGGGGCATAACGTTACATTGTGTATACTGTGCAACTCACTGGGCGAATATCAGGATCATCTCGAGACCCATTAGTTTTGAGGTCATTAGCTACTATGTGGATGATGCAGTGTACATGTGGATGTAGAACATATAGCATCAACCAGGGAAAGATTACACTACTGTCATATATAAAATATTCACTGCGTCAGAAATTATCAGATCATGGTTCATTTCATCCGTAACTGATTGATCTTCCGTGATCACATGACAGCCTACAGGTATACAGATACAGAAACTGGGGAACAATGTAATTTATTTGTTTTATTTTTCTATTTACGGGGTTGCTATGTTGATTTCAAAATGAAAAGAAACTTTTACAGTAACTGTTGTTTTTTGAGCTCCCTGCTTTTATAAACACTGGAAAATAACCTTCGACTCTTTGGGGGTAAATATTGTTGTTGATGAGTCATAAATATCAGGTTTCATCTTTACATGAAGTATTTATATATTAATGATTTTATCCCACTGGTCACTGTGGATATGCTGACAGTGTTGAGTCCGGACGTCAACAGTCTCATATGATATGTTCCACTGTGTATTAATTACCATTGTGTCAAATTCCTCCTCCACTGCATGTTTATGACTTGCAGAATAAAACAATTATGAAAGTAAATTGTACACGTTTATTTGTGTAGAAGAAGAAGAATTCGAAGAAGTTTATAGAAGACAAAGGCAAAACATTGTGTGATTATTTAAGACAGATATTTACAGTACGTCAGGTAACACAAAGGCAACCTAATTATATATTGATCATTATGACCCAGCCTTTCGTTTGAAAGTCAAAAAGTCGATCTCTTGGTTTGGCTTGTTACAAGTTGCCTTCATTTGCGAAACATAAAAGAAAAATGAATATGTCTCTTCGGATTTCACAGCAGAAGAACTGCCGAGTTCAGTATGTTTCATCCGCCTTGTGAGGTGGTACTGTGTTTTTGGTGGACGTCAGCGAGACAACATCTGCTGGTTATTGAACAGTTACTTTGAGTACGTCTGTGACAGGTACATACACAGTCACTGAAATGTGTACTGGTACACAAATGTTTACTCGTTGATACTTTATTTCCAATCAGACTTCCAAATATGACAGCAAAGGAAAATCATCAAAATACATTTGATTATAAATTTGTTGTTGATTATAAATTTGTAAGTACTGATCTCCACTGAATAGTATTTTATATTTTTTTATCATCAATAAAACCTCACTGACTTTTAATGGTAATTATATTATTTACGGCGCATGTATTACAATAACAATTCATTATTTGTTTGTAGTGTTTATATACATGTAGCTATAACATCCACCGCGATGGACCATTATTTTAAAAGGCATGTCGATTGTGGGGACCATTATTGCAGATGGTTTTGGCTTGGTAACATGGAAATCACTCTCAAAACGCACAAGTATGTGAATGTGATCGTCTCATTTCTGCCAGATGGAGCAACGATGATCTTTGAATACTTATGGACGAAATTTAAGGGGAAAGGTAATAGAAACACGTTGAAATAGAAAAACAATATCACTATTGCACACAGAGCAAATTACGCCAATATCTAAAAAATAATAATACGAGAGAGAGGAGGGGGGGGGGGGGAGTGAGAGAGAGAGGGTGGGGGAGAGAGAGAGACTTCACGACGTTTACGCTGGAACTACATGTATCTGCACTGACGTCGTGGATGTACAACTATGAATTTCACTCTGTAGGCGGGAACAGCAATGGGGAGATGTGGGCGTTTGAGGATGGACCCGTGATATATTTGTACATTACATCTGCTGTTGTCAACAGGTAGGATACATGCTAGTTATTCGTTATATTACGCAGCTGGTACACACTGTGTCAGCAAGTACAAAGATAAAATTGGTCCAGGATTTCGCATCTGCCCACTGTGGTCTAAGAGTATGACATTTGAACTGTTTGCCTACAGGCCAACAGGTAAATGAGAGATGAAAAAGATTTGGCGGAACTCCATTTGCAAAAACTAATATCCGGCGCTGCACCCACGATTAATACCTGTTTATGTGTTTTCTTAACAACCGCCTATTTCTTTGAATAAATTAACTTATTAATCTTACATATATTTTCAGTGGCATTTCTTATATTTTTCCTTTCTGGCCACAAACAAAATCATTTCTTTTTTGTCTTTTTATAGTTCGTGTAATACACTTAAAACAGATGGGTTTATTTGGAGATTGCGCGCCACTGAGTAGTCTCGATCCTCGGAGTGATCTTTGTCATTGGTTTCACTCATTGACATGGCGTCCCTTGTCCTACAATCGATTTGTTGAACGTGAATCAAAATCGTAGTGACTGAGTGGGGAATCAACAATAGCCTTATCGTACATTCTACCATGAAAATACTCGATTCAGTTTTATCATTCAGAGGTTTCAATTCACAATAACACACCAATGATTCAAGCATAACAGCAGAAAATAAGATACAATAAGAAAGAACTTCTTTCTCAATCCGGATCAGTAGGATATTTTAAGCTGATGCTTGTCTGACATACAGACACGTGCAATGAGATGGTTACACCGTATACTGATAGACTGACGAAGGGGGAAAATAGGTGCATAACACTATGATTTCTGCAATGATCTGACAAAAGACTACAGACACTGAAATAAACACATTGCCCAAGTTGTGACAATACTGTTTGACCAGAATAGGGCCAATGGTCACCGTATCAGAATAGAATAATACATTCTTAAGGTAAATCATCTTAACCGCACACAGAAAGATTGTCTGAATGTATTTAAAGTTAGATTTATTTGGTGTCTACTAGAGATAAGCTTCGGAAACATAGGTCTGTAAAATTATTACATTCTAAATTGTAGTGACAGCGATATAACAATTAGGATTGCTCCAATACTCTTCTTGCGTGCGGTGCTTCCTCCGTGGTAACTTTAATCGGAGGAAAATGTCTCTATATTTGTTGATGCTACGTTTTATCGCTGTTGGCAGACTTACGATCGCCTCTGGCCACGTTGTAGGTATCAGGAAGACCTTGTAGCACGAATCGTCATGGCGAACAAAACCATTGGGACATAAAGCTGAAGCTAATGTAATAAAAACATTTCTAAATTCAAGCAAAACCAAATGAAATGAAACGCAAAAAGGTTGAGTTAAAAGCCTTCTATTAGTATCGACGGCTAATCTGTCCTCAATAGAACAGACTGAACCTTAAAGGAACAACATATTGATTAAAATCTCATTTCAATTTTAAACACTGATGTGTCACAACCTGTGAATGGAGTGACGGGGTGGTTTTACAAATGTAAAATGGGTGTTGAATGGTCATAGAATCGTGTGATGGTCTCATAAGAAGAAGAAAGTAATACAGATACTAGCGGGCAAACGTGAGGGTAGTCTGTAAAGGTGACTGATAAATGACATCGGCAGTGACTGGAACCGTAGACAGAATGAGTCACCTAGACATAAAGTGACTTATACATCCACACTGATAACATATATGCAAAACGGCATGTGATAGACTTATGGCTTGGAAGGCAGGGGGCGAGAGAATACTGGTTTACGCCGCTGTCAGCAATATTCCAGCGCGACATCTGTAAATGTTCGTGTCCTGGCAAGGCAGACCAGTTGCTGGTAGCATTTGGACAACGATCCCAGCCAGAGAGACACTTTATGACATCCATATCAACATCCGAGTGAATGAGTTGAGTTTAACGCCGCTTTGAACAGTTATATCACGGCTTGTCAGCGTAATGTGGGAGGAAAGCCCGAAGTGATTTTGTAACCCACGAGCACGGTATGGTGCTGACAAACCTAGAAACATAATCGGGGACAACCGGAATTCGAACCCACGACCATAGGCTGCTGGCGTCCCCAAGGGACGCAACTCTGCACAGCGAATTGCGACGCCTTTGGCGACACTCGTGCCCCCTGTCACCATCTGTTACTCATGTATCCTGCAACAAACATGGGTACAAACACAAACACAAACACAAACACAACAGAAACATACACACACACACGCTGAAAACCTATACATCCCGGTAGTCCCATAGAAGAGATACACAAACGCAAGCACGCACGCACGCACGCACGCACGCACACACGTATACGCTCTCACACACGGATACGCACACGCACGCACTAGGGCGCGCGCACACACACACACATTGGAGACCTATTGCTTCCCGTTATCCCCAGGCAGAGATACATGATCCGACGATACTGGGGGCCTACTCTTCTCCGTCGTCACCAGAAAAGATAGATAGCTAGGCAGAAATACAAACTCACACACGCACACGCGCACTGGAGACCTGTTCCTCACCGCAATCCCTAGGAAGAGTAATACGGACACACACACACACACACACACACACACACACACACACACACACACACACACACACACACACACACACACACAAACACATTATGGACAGACAAACACGCACACGCACGCACGCCCGCACGTATACAAACACTCAAACACATACACACACAAACAGATAGTGGACGATCACGTCGCTTACAGACACACACGCACACACACATACAGAGGAGGTGGCCAAACACATAAACAGACACACGAGCGTCCATACAGCAAAACGATTGAATGTTGTTTTAACGTCAGTCAAACCAGAGAGTGAGAGCATGATATGATACAATATACCAAGATATAAGTTGTCTGAGGAATGAGAATCCGGTGCACACGTACACGGTGATGTCTGACACCTACCTGTGGCGACTAACACCGCGCACCATGTCATACGGTACAGAAGTGAGAGACGTGTCGCCGCCATTCTGCCAGTACAATGGGAACACGACAGGTGTGTCGTATCAGGGGTCATGAGGGTCCAACTCTCTACTCTAATTAGACGTGAATGGTTTTTGAAACCGTTTGTCGAGAAAAATGAAAAAAAGTGGACCCACGTTACTGGATACAGTGGACAGTACGGAGTAGAACTATTTTAGCTGATGTTTGCATTTTATGAACGTTTCAAACCATGTTTGTGCAGAAAGATTGATTCCTGGTTTTGGTTTTGGTGCGTTCGATTAGTAAAATTTGAGTGACCTGAGTCAACCGAGGTTGACTAGGTTCGACTAGTCTCTAACGCAATATTAGTTTAAATAATAATTTCTAGATTATAGAAAAAAATAAGAACAAGTCGTCCCGATAACAGACTGGCCTCCTTCACTGTCCGCTTATCTAGGTTTGTCGAATATAAGGACAGAATAATTATACCCCCATGGACATCTCATCCAGTACGACCTTGGAGCAAGGCTGAAATTGAGCCTGAGTTAATCAAGGATAACTTTGGGCAGTCCCCGAAACATGCAACCATAGATATTATACAAAAATGTCTGCCAGGAGAAGGAGAAACATAACAGCCATGTGTATTGCAACTTCCCGAGGCAAGAGTGAGTGAGTGAGTGAGTTGGGTTTAACGCCGCTTTTAACATTATTCCAGTTATATCACGGCGTGTCAGCTTAATGTGGGAGGAAAGCCCGAAGTGATGCAGGTCTCAGACGTTTACCACTTCGGTGAAACCCACGAGCACGGGTATGGTGCTGACAAACCTAGAAACATAACTGGGGCGAACCGGGATTCGAACCCACAATCATAGGTTTCTGGCGTGCCCAAGGGACGCAACTCTGCACAGCGAATCGCGGCGCCTTAGACGACTGGGCCACCCGTGCCCACTCCCGAGGCAAGAGAGTTAACTGACTTTAAAAGTCAGTTAACTCCTTTGCCTCGGGAAGATGTATGTATTGCTATGACACACAACTATGAGAGGTAAACAAGTATTTGAATGTTTGACAAAGCTGACATTGTATCTTTTCTATTTGATGCATAATAACGACAAGATTTCCAAAATAGCCTGTACAATATCAGACAGAGATGCAAAATAATCATCAAAGTTGCATTGTTGATTCCAAAGTATTTATATCAAGAAGCGATAGTTAAATTTCCCTGACGCACATCAGAACACACATATGTTATCAATACCTAGTTAATTATATTCATTAAAATGCTTTTGATGATGATTGGGTCAATAAATGAAACCAAATAGCTTTAACGATGACGTCACTTGGCTGCTGCTAACCAGAGTGTCCCCTCAGGGGTTCAGTAGATATGGGCAACTTAGGTCAACCGAAGTATGACGTAAATCAGTTGATATGTGCTAACATTGGTCAACCAAGGCTTACTTAGGATGCACCTTGATCAACACGGCTTCCTCCGTGGTTTTGAAATACAAGCAGTGGTACTTTTGTTTTTTGTGAGATGTTTTTAAAAGATGTCAATCTATATTTGAGATTTGACGCATTGAATTTGCTCCACCCACTGTTTGTGCAGAAGGATATTAATTAACACCCGAACTGGCTGATTAGGAACAATTTTGTTTAATGGTCAAACATTTCTACTGATAGGAAAATGGTTAGGATGCGTTGACTTCGATCTATTATTTCCTATTACCTTCACATATGTATCATGTATACAGGTACATATGATTAAAACAGATGAAAGCGGTGTTATGTTGTCAGTGATGCGAAAATGAACAGAAAGAAAAGAAAAACAGGTAAGGGACATAACTCTTCCCAGACTAAATGTTTGCCTCAGCTGATGTGCTGCGTTGACACACAGTTCGGCAAATGTTTTCTTAACAGCACCTCAAAGTGTCGCACAGTTAAGCTGAGACTTTGCACAGAGTCGAAATCCTGCAAGTTTGCCGTTTTTATGTTATCTAGGAAAGAAGATGTATTAAGATGATATACAAATTCAAGCACGATAAACATGATGCGTTAATCACCTGTGTTGCTTCGAAAATTGAATTTTATTCATGTCAAGGGAAGAGTCAAGTTATGATTATTCTCTAATTTGATATAAAAATATTATGTAACAACTTTTGTGTCAAAACACGAAAGCAGAACTTTGAAACCTCGATATTCCAGACCCTGTTAATCCGGAAACCCCAATACTACTCGCAACACGAAAACAAATACAAAGTGACTTTATTCGCTATTTAAGTACAATACCTTACCTCATCACACCTCACCTCACCTTAACTCACCTCACCTCGTCTCACCTTACCTCTCCCCACCTCATCGTACCTCTCCTCACCCCATCCCACCTTACCTCACCTCACACCACCCCATTCCACCCCACCCCACCCCACCCCACCCCACCTCACCTCACCCCACCTCACCTCACCTCACCTCACCTCACCTCACCCCACCCCACCCCACCCCATCCCATCCCACCCCACCCCACCCCACCCCACCTCACCTAACCCGAATGATTTCAGTGGGGAGGCACAATCCGGATTAACGAGGTTATTATCGTCTTTATCTATGATCAACGTATATAAATAATGAATATGTTTATAGTAACTTAGTCTGTTTCACTTGTGCAAATGTATTTCAAAAGAAATTCACTGACGGCACACATCAAACCTGAGTTCGATGTAGCTTACAAATAGAACGAATGTGCCAACACCTGTGAAAATTCACACTAACGTCTAATATAAGGCGAGTTGGCATGTACATAACCAACACACGTGATCTACCACACCAGTTTGCCAACATTAACGTGAGCATCCAAATGTACTCGTAGGGCTGGGAAATAGTACAACAACGTCCACAAGATTATAAAACAAAGTTGTGCTTGCAACTGAATATTACACAGCTGAAGAAGCGGAGGTAAAAGATTGAAACTTGCCCCAGACTTGACGGATCTGATTCACGTGGAAAGAGTTTGTATTCGACAGTGTGGCTTAATGAGCTGAGTTAAAGCAGTCGGTGTTACTGTCAAGGTGTCAAGTCAACTCGTAAAGCGACCCAGGGTGCATAAGGCTGCTGACGGTTTGACAAAATACCCACTTAGATCCATGACAAACAGGCTCAACTACCCCACGTTTGTGTGAAAACGGACTTATACATTGTAGTTATAATGTGTGACTTAGGTGATTGCGTGTCTTACGACGGAGTGGATAGTTATTCTATAGATACCCATGTAAGTGTTACAAAATGTTAAAGGTATTTGATGATAATGGAAAAAATAATTGGGATTCAGATGTGAGAAATCTATTATTTGTTAGTGGCTTTCCATGTGTATGGATTTCTCAAGATGTGGGAGATCCACAGTTATTGTTATATTCATTAAAGCAAAGACTGAAGGATATATTTTGTCAACAATGGCACCAAAGTATTTCTGAATCACTTTATCTCAGCAATTACAGCAAAGTAAAATCATTGTTACAAACTGAAAGATATTTAACTTGTTTAAATGATAAAAGTTTAATCAGAGCTTATTGTAAACTTAGAATTCCATTGCATAATTTTAATGTAGATATATGTCGCAGGTCCCAAGACGGTGATATTGTGAAATCTATTTGTACAAACTGTTCATCCGGAGAAGTAGAGGATGAATACCATGTCTTACTTATATGTGAAACGTATTCCCATTTAAGGTATAAATTTCTCCCCATGTTGCAAGGTACTTTTAAAGACCGTCAATTAATGATAAATCTGCTAAACTCTGAAAGTCCTGATATGATCCATGCTGTTTCTGTATTCTTAAAACATGTCTTTAAAATGAGGAATGTGTAACTTGATTTAAAATCTGATCATGTACATCACGTGACAATGTTATTATCCAATCTGCATTGTACTATGGGTCTTGATGCCTAAAATACTGAATAAACTGTCTGTCTGTCTGATAGTTATTTGTGCTATCAACCACTGGCCCTCCTGTCCCTTGGTTGCTGGCTGATGTATGGCATGGGGATTAGAGCGTCGGAAACAACATATACTCATTTACAAAGGGGGCAAGGGTGGTCCACGTGTCTGAGGCTCCGCGATTCTGTGTACTAAGCTGCAGCAGGACCCACTTATCGCGGGTTCGAATTCAAGATTCTCCCTGATCCTGATCCTTGTCAGCACCTTTGTCAGCAAAATTCTCGCAGGTTTTAACAAAGTGGTACACGACATTTCCTCCCACTTTCATCTTCCCGAGACAAGAGAGTTAACTGACTACAAAAATCCAGTATCAACCCTTGCCGAACTAGGCTGGAATTTCTGGGCTCTCCTATGCCTCTCCTATTGACCAGTCAGATTCCATCTCTCGTGTCACTTGCATTTGCTTCAAACAAAATGACGGCGCCCAGTCAAGACGATCTGATCGATAATCAAGATCTATATTGTGATAAAACGGGTCATACATCGTGAAGTACATCAAATCACGTGAGCAACTTGATTAAAAACATGAAAAGATTAGGAAAATATCTGTTGACAACGAGTTGGCGGTGCACACGTTTTGCAAATCCTGCAATCGGCCGAAATCTGCATGATAGTTTACAAACTGGATTTCGATTCCGTTGCACGATTTTGATTGGACTATGCATAGACTCGTTAGTCCAGCCAAAATGTAACTCCATAATACCAGCCTAGTTCGGCAAGGGTGGAAACTGGACTTTTAAAAGTCAGTTAACTCCCTTGCCTCGGGAAGATGTGCCACGTTATGTCATGGCATAACTGAACTACTGTTCAAAGGGGCGTTAACCTTTATACTCATTAACGGGCATATTGTTTCCAAATCTGCAACCATCCACTCCTCAGAAATAGACATGGTACGTCTTGGGTATTTCGGTTGGAAATGTACGGAATTGGAACGGAATAACTCAAGAAAACACGCTGTTGTTGGTTTTCGATTGGTCAACTTAGCGTGTGCCCACCAACAAAGGTCAATGAAGACCAGCTGTGCACTCTTGAAGGCTTGACCGATGGTACTTCACATTAATGAAAAACAAACAAATTCCTTCT